GTGCAAATCGAGCCATGAGAATATCCGTGATCTCTCACTCTCATCCTTAACCTCTTTTTCGCTTTCACTCATTCCTATGGATGTTTTAAGTTTACGACACTTCGGCTACCATCATGATTCCTGTCACCATGAGATGACTCTGTCTATGTTGACGGACACATGAGCTTGAGGTTAAGGTTTTTCTCAACATGAGAGCTTTGTGTGATTGATTTAGGTGATTCTTTTTTTGTTGTTTCCCTTTTTAAATTTCCACGTTTGTGGGACTTGTTTGACTTCGTTATGCCCCTATGTGTTTCACTAATTCTTCAACTGAAATTTGTGTTTCTGGGCACGAGCACAAAAAGGTTATGACTTTGTCTTGATGGCCGACAACATGAGTTTATCTCTTGATGGCTGGACTAATTGGATAGTTTTTCAAACACTATTTTGGTGACGAGCTAGATTCGGCTAAATGTGACAAGATTCTAAAAATAGCCTGATGTCGTATCCCCACTACATCCCTTGACTATCATCTCACATGACTTACAGACACCAGTGGGGTGTTTATACACTCAACATAAGTTGGCGTTTTGTATCCTCAACACTAGTGGGGCGTTCAAAATCTTGACACCAGTAGGGTGTTCGTAATCTCTCAACACCTGAAATTTATCAACAATAGCACAACCTAGCGTAAAATAAATCGAGGGACGATTAAATGTCTATCAAGAAATAAAGGGCAAAATGTGTACAATTGGACCCGATGCATCCACAAAGCAACAAGCAACAAAGCATTCAACACCATAACAACAACGATAATATGTCAAATTACACGAACATTGTCATTTAATCTCCTCCCTTTACTTAAAGAGATCTTGTGAGCCTTTATCCACATCCTTAGCTCTTTAGCTAATTTTTTTTCTTCTCATTCTTCCTCCTCTCTACCTTAGCCTCAGCCAACCATAAACTCTGTTCAAGTCCCAATATTGTACTGTCAAATTCAGTGTTCCATGCATCGGCTTCATCCGCCGCCCCTTCCACCCTCCTAAAAATTGGATCCTGCACCAATAGCTTCTATAGTTACCACACATAATACATAAATGACAAATGGGCGATCACTCTCTCTCGTTTACCTTCCAATACGGACAATCATAGAATTTTTTGCTTAGGTTCGTCTTAGTACTAGCTGTGTTAATCACACAAGGAGCATGGTGCTTCCGACAAACTACCCTAAGGCTATTGATGCTTTTCGGAGATGAAGAAGCGCGGTGAGACATGGCAAACTCTCACCTACTAATTCTTGCCGCAGTTGTGGAAGCCTGCTAAACGTCATCCTTCAAGGCGTGAATCGGGAAAGAGGAAAGGCAGCAACGCAGACGGTAGAGTGGTGCAGAACGGCGGCGGCCGGGGGGGGGGGGGGGGGGGGGGGGCGTTGATTTAATAGGCGACGGCCCTTTCGAATCTTAATCTCCATCATCGAATCCCTGCAATGAAATGGAGGCAGTAGCGGATCTAGGGGGCGGCCACCCCGGGCCGGGATTCGAAGTTAGTATAGTGTTTATGAATTTTTCGATTTTAGTTATTCGGCCTAGTGTTATTTTGTAATAAGATTGGGTGTAACTAGAAAATGATTCAGATTAACATATTCAAATCACTAGTATAAATTTAGACCAACTCCAATGCAAGACCCCAAATTTGGGGACCTTCATCCCCAAATTTGGGGATTGCTCCCATTTTTTACAATTTGGCTCCAATGCTACCAACCTCAAATTTGGGGATCTCCATTTTATCCATTTTTACATTTACTTAAAAATGTACTTATCGAAGCCTTAATATAATTCGTTAATGTTAATTTTTGTATAGTTCGTCATCATTTTAAGATACAAATTTTCCGATAGAATATTTTCAAATTCCGAGACCGAATTTTTTTGGCGAAAAATTTATGGACCTAATTTTGGTTTACACACAACACTTGAAAATGATAAACCTAAAGGAGTTCACATAATAATTTAAATGATACAACTTAGAAGCTGCTTGGTATTGATGTTGGGATGCTTTGTAATTCAATTTAAAGTTGTAGTTGGTGACAATTTGATTTGTAATTCAAGAACGTATTTTCAATTCAATAATATATTTTCTATTCTTAGTTCGAATTATTTTTTGTGAACACAACTTCTAGATAATAAACATAATTTTAAATAAAATAAATTCAATTTAAGTCATCTTAGAAAATAAAATAAAATAACCAAACTATTAAACACAAATTAAATAGACAACCTTCAATTAATTAATACAAACATTAATTTACTAACCTTCACTTATTAATTACATAACCATAAATAATTAAACACTTAATGAAAAAAAAGGGCCGGAACGGGGACAACCGCCAACCGCTCGCCCACTCCCCATTTTTGCCACAGTCAGCATTCCCTCCCCCAAAATTGCCGATCAGAATGGCGATTCCACCTCAAAATTGGCGCTTTCCCCATTTATGGAGTCCCATTGGAGCTCCACCTCCCCCAAAATTTTTTGCAGGCTGCGTTGGAGACAGCCTTAGCCTAGAAATTCTAGCTCCAAATAATATTTTTTCTAAAAAAACAATGAAATCTAGAATTCTAAAAGTCTAAAACGTAAAAGACTATAAGAAATATGAGGTTTGTTCCCTTAAAAATTTACTAAAGCAGTTAGTGGATAGAGGTATGGACACACAATGCACGATTGATTTGTCTAGTATTGACGCTACTCGTATCAACAACTACTACAAGGAGAACCTTTTCAACATTAATGAAACATATGAAAACTGATTTCGCAACAAAATGAACGATGAATTTCTAGCCTATTGCTAAAGTATTTTATTTAAAAACAATGTATACTATTGGTATGGACGTGGACTCTGTTATTGATGCATTCGCTAAATTAAAATACTGTCTTGTACAATTTATGTTGTAAAAAAAATTATAATGTTTTTTTACGATTCTAATTTTTTAATGAAATGCGGCCCAGTGCTCTTCTGTGTTCTGGATCCGCCGCTGAATGGAGGGAAGTGTGAGGACAGAAGAAGGTCCACGATGATTAGGTAAGCCTTAAAACTTTCAAAAATAATTTATTTTTAATAAAAATGGCGAGTCCTCCACATGTCCTCGTAGGCTGAGTTGCGATGACGTGTCCGGTGTGTTGGCAGCCTAGCCTAGTAAGCATACAGTTAAAATAACTAACGGTGATACTGACGCCGTTAAAGTTTGAAACGAAAATGGCTATATTTGTTATGAAATTTTCAAAATTCTGACTATTTTGTATATTTCTTGGAAAGTGACTATTATTGTCACAACCGAGAAAGTTTTGGCTACTTAATATATTAAAATGTTGGGACAATATTTTTTAGAGTTAAATACTATTTTAAGCCAAACCTTTCACAGATTCTAAAATATTAGCCAAACTTTTGAGAATACAAAATATTAGCCAACCATTAAGTCTTCGTTAATACTTCCATTAGATGATGATGAGCTGGTGGAAGTGATGTTAAGATGGAAGGATTATAGTGACATGCCACTAAAAATAAATAATTTTTATTTCTTAATTTACGATATAAATTAAAAAAGGATAAATATTAATTATTAACCAAACCTTTCACGGATTCTAAAAAATTAGCCAAACCTTTGAGAATACGAAATATTAACCAACCATTAAGCCTCCGTTAATACTTTCGTTCGATGATGATGAGCTAGCGGATGTAATCTAAGATGGAAGACATATGGTGACATGACACTAAAAAAATTTCATTTATGTGTTAAACACGTGGACTGACGATTAGCCTACGTGTAATTCTGTTAAGGCTAACACTAACAGAAAATGGCTATACTTTTGTAGTGTCCTGAAAGAGTTGTTTGATATTGTGTATTCTCAAAAATTTTGCTAATATTTCAGAATTCGCGAAAAGTTTGGCTAAAAAATAGTATTTACCTTGTTCTATATTAAAAAAGTACATTTGGTTGAGTGTTTATTTGTATGGGGAAAGGAGTCTAACCATAATTGTCTCATCTTTATTTAACTTTTTGTAGGTAATACGCATATATCTAGGGGTGTTCAAACGGTGTGGTTGCCATGGTAACCGTTTTAACCAGTACTATTTGGATAATTTTGTTTGGTTAATTTGGATAATTGGATTGGTTTGGTTAGAGTTTTTAGCTTGTTTGGTTTAGGTTGTTTGGTTTGGTTTCAAAAAATCCTAACCAGCCAAACCAAATTAACCAGATAAATAATTAGCTATATATCTAATATATACACATACTTAATACTTTGAATAACCACTCAAGAGTTAAACGTTCATCCTTTTAGACTCATAAAATATAAAGCTTGATATTGTTCCTATAATGTATATTTGTATATGTAGAGTGTAGACCACAACATATGAACGCCTAATTTAGATAAATCCCATACATTATGTTGGATGAAAACTTGAAAGCAAGGTCCTTTTCAGCCTATGAAAATTGCTACAAGACTAAGTCAATTAAAAAAACACAACAATTCATTAACCCAGACCATTGTGATAAATTTTTGTTAGGTGAATACTTCTATACTAACCGTAAGATAATTGTCTTAGTTACATGTATTTATTTTAAGGGTCAACTGTAACTATGTGTTGATTGTTATGTTTTATTCATTATATAAATTGTGAATTGACAAATTAACCAAAAATTTTCTCTCTTAATGATAATATGATTTTATATTGGTTAATCTGATTAACCAATTAACCAAACCGATTAAACTTTTAGTTTGGTTAATTTAGTTGTTGTATTAGTTTGGACGGTTTGGTTATGATATTGTATTCCATAGTAAATTAAATTTAGGCTTATTTAATTTGGTAATAACCATGGTAACCATTTTAACACCTCTACATATATCTGCTCTGTATCCAATAAGTGCAGAATTTCTCTATTTTAACTGAATTACCATTGGGTCTGTTGTCATCTCTAATAACAATTTTAAGGAGACCAATGTAGCTCTGTTGTCACGGTTGTCTGCATACTAGGGGTGTTGAATTTCGAGAATCACGTAAATTATTCGCTTTGGCGTATCTGTGTGTTAAAGAGAGAGATTTAGGGAAGAGAAGACTGGAACTGGCACTGGCAGGGAGGGAAGGAATGACACATTTATGAAATCATATCATCATATTATTATTTTTTCCTATTAAAGTCAAAAGCAAAACTCCAACCACTTCTCCTCGACTCCTCTCCCGTCTCAATTCCTTCGCTCATCGCGACTTTTCATCCTACGCTCTACCATTTTCCTACGCCGGCGGCACCTTCCGCGCTCTCTCCTGGAGCTTCCCCGTCCTCTTTCCCCTCCTGCTCTTCGCTGTTTGAATCGGGACGCAGGGCCGCCGCCGCCGCCGCCAGTTCCCCATTTCAAGCTTCCGTTTCGCGCCGGTAACAATCTGATCTGCCTCACTTCTTTTCTTCCTCCTCCTCTTATTCTTCATCTTTGTTAAATTCATTAGGTGATTCTTTGTTCTATTTTTCTTATTCTTATTCTTGTTCGCCGGCAGTGGATTGTGTTTCGGCTTGGAATTGTGGGCGTTGTTTGTTTTTTTGGTATTCTCCTGCTTCTGCTTCGTCTCCGTCTCCGTCTCCTCGTGCTTGGTTCGATCTGCTCATCATTTGGCTCAACTGGATTCACTCTTGTTGCGCTATGATGTGCAAATGATCAACTATTGCTCTGAGTTGCTGTTGCCTTCACAATTCTGCTAGTTCTTGTGATTTTTGCGCAGGTTTATGTTCTGCTTATTAGGAGTCTTCGCTTATTCGTCCTGTAGCACATTGATTGTATTGTTTGCTGTTAGGAGCGTTTCCAAATTTGGTTTCGGCTATCGGCAATAGTTAGTTCTCATTAGCGAATTGCTTGATTTGGTCAAGTAGGTTCTTCTTTCGTTTGGTAAAAGGTAAAGGATTGGATTCCATGTAATGGGGATGATAAGTTAATAAATCGATTTCCTTCCTCTCCATGAAGGACTTGTTGTAATAGTCGGATCGATCTATAGTTCATGAGTTCTGGGTTAATTGATTGAGTTGAGGTTAATCATAATCAAGGGGATGAGAGGGACGCCACATAAGGTCAACTAAAATGTCTTGCATTGGCAATATCCATGCCTCAGCTTGAAAGCCTGAGAGATTCTATCAAGAAAAAAGAATTTTCGTTTATTCAATTTGTTGGTAATTTGATAATTTGTTGGTAGGCATGTAGAAGTATGACCTGCTTTGTCGTATTTGTTACATTCTTTATAGCCAGCCATTCCCTTGGCAATTTGGGTATCAGAAGCTTAAGTTTGCTTCTTCTTCTCCTTTTCCTTCTATTCATTCTAACTGTAAGTTTTTTGTTTTGTATTTGACTAAATCCAAATCCAGGTTATCGTACGTCTGAAGCATGAGCTGCTTCAGCTGTTGCGAAGAGGATGAGATCCATAAAGCTGCTGACAATGGAGGTCATTATCCCTTAAAGGGTTCTGGAGGTATTGTCCTTGTTCCTGAATTGGATTTGGAAACTCAGCAGAATTAGAACTTTTGGATAGGCTGTGGGCTGTTTCTGAAGCCATCTTTATCGATCATTTTTTCATTCGTTCTCAATGATGCTCAACTGAGTGCTAATATCGAATCTATTTACATCTCTAGTCTGGTACATTATTGTTTAGTGCGCAATTATAATTTTTTGACGTTCTGTGGAACAACAAATCTACAGTTTCTTTCTCTTCATTGCATTTTAGTGCACTGAAGGAGAAGTATTAAATTCTGATTATTCCTCATACTACTTGTATTGCATCTGGAAGTGATGAGAATCGTGTTAGGAAAAAATCTCAACACTAGTTTACTGGGAGTATCATTCTAGTACTGATCTTTGATTTACAATTGATGATCATCCGTATGCTCATATTGCGTTAGGAAGATATTTGTTTTGTGCAAACTGCCTTAGAGAAACTGGCCAGCTCAGTGTAAGGTAGAGGAGAACTAGACTTGGGTTCCTCTACAACAGCAGCAATCTGAATAGACCTAATATTCCAGTACCAATGACAGGCTTCGAACCCTCAGCTGAACTAATATTCCATTTGTGCCTGATATGATTCGTAATGGGAAGCGTTGTCTTGATCATATACTTCTGTTTGTAACAATCATTGTATCTTTTTATTGTGGAAACTCATCAAACAGGAAGTATAGGAGGCTATCATGCCTCAGAAACTGCGCCTAAAGGGGCTCAGATTATCAAGATCCAGCCCATTGAAGTTCCAGCATTAGCTTTGGACGAGTTGAAGGAAGTTTCAGAGAACTTTGGTACTAATTCTTTGATTGGAGAAGGCTCCTATGGAAGAGTGTATTATGGCATTCTCAAGAATGGGCAAGGTGCAGCGATTAAAAAGTTAGATGCCAGCAAACAGCCTGACGATGAATTCCTAGCTCAGGTTTACTGCAAACCTGAGATCATAGTTATTTATAGTTTACTGCATCTTATAGTTGCATCTCTGATATTTTTGTTTTTATTTCTCAGGTCTCAATGGTTTCTAGACTTAAACATGATAACTTTGTCCAATTGCTTGGGTATTGTGTTGAAGGAGGGTCTCGCATACTTGCTTATGAATTTGCGTCGAATGGTTCGCTGCATGATATTCTTCATGGTAAGTCCTTATGTTCTTCTCTCTCTTGATTCCGTGCTTTGAAGAGTTGCATTTCCTTAAAGCTGGGACCTTATACTAGTGCATAATTCAACAAGCTACAATCAAATTCTGGCCTTTCATTTCAGGCAGTTATGTGAAATTAAATCTGACCTTTTTGCTGGCGCAAGTTGTGAATAATAATGCCCTTATCAAAATACCTAAAAACTCTTCACTTATTATATGGGATGGCACTGGTAAAATCTCACTGCTTTCAGAATCACGAGATGTCGGTTCATGAGGCAGAAACTTTGCTTATGGTGCAAACTTCGAAGAGGGATTTGGGTTGTCTTCATTGTTTGTGATACCCCATACCTTTCTGCAGGCTCTTGTCTGGAATATGTGTGATCACCTTTTTCGTTCGCATTTTTGTTGGGTCGTGGATGCAGGAAGGAAAGGTGTTAAAGGTGCACAGCCAGGTCCTGTCCTTACATGGGTGCAGCGTGTTAAAATTGCTGTTGGGGCTGCTAAGGGCCTTGAATATTTGCATGAAAAGGCCAATCCCCATATCATCCACCGTGACATTAAATCCAGCAATGTTCTGATTTTTGATGATGAAGTTGCAAAGATTGCTGATTTTGATTTGTCAAATCAAGCTCCTGACATGGCGGCACGGCTTCACTCTACTCGTGTACTGGGCACATTTGGATATCATGCTCCTGAGTAAGTTCTCTGTTCGGCTGATGGATTATTCTCGAACAAGAGTACTGCTATTCATCTTTGAACTGAAAAGCTTTGCAGTAGGGGAAGCCAAATTGATCAGCTTGTCCCTGTGTTTTTCGTTTCTTCTTTCTTTTCAGATATGCCATGACTGGGCAGTTGAATGCCAAGAGTGATGTTTATAGTTTCGGGGTGGTGCTTCTTGAGCTTCTGACTGGTCGTAAACCCGTTGACCACACACTGCCACGTGGGCAACAAAGTCTGGTCACATGGGTATTTATTGCTTTTTATTCCCTTCCCTCTTCTCTTGCAATACATTAAGAAGCTTTCTAACTACTTTTTATTCCCTCCACTAATCAGGAAGCTCTTTCCCATTTTTTGCAATGCCGTAGGCTACACCTAAACTTAGCGAGGACAAGGTTAGACAATGTGTTGATACAAGACTAGGAGGAGAATTCCCACCCAAGGCGGTTGCAAAGGTAATCATTAAACGTAGCATTTCTCTTTTTGTTGTAAATGAAGATAGATTCTGTTAGACCATTATTGGATAACCATTCCCTATGCCATACACCCAACAATCCATTTGGATCCCTACTACCATTCTGCTGAATTGTCGTCAGTATACACGGAATGCATTAGTTATAGTGAATCATTGACATTTTCTGTTAAACTAAATCGAAAACCCTTTCGGGTTATTTTGGTGGGGGAAACGCAGATGGCTGCAGTGGCTGCTTTGTGCGTGCAATACGAAGCTGATTTCAGACCGAACATGAGTATCGTCGTGAAAGCACTACAACCTCTACTAAACGCCCGGGCAGGTCCTGTAGGTGAAACCCCAGCCGTCTGATTCTCTCTGAGATGCCCCAAGCGGGCACATTGGTGTGGTAAGGTCACAGTGACATTATTATTTCTTTCTTCATTTATTCCCAGGGAGAAGGAACCATCCCTACACTTCTCTCCATTTTTGTTATGCGTTTCATCTGTTCATAATTCGAGTGAGTGTTCTGTCTCATATTGTTAACTCTATACATATGTTCAGATATGTTTTCGTTACTCTGTGTTGTGTATGTTTGCAGATATGTGGATAAGATAAGTATTGATAATGATCTTCGCCTCAGTGGGATATTGGTTAAGGCAAGTGCTGTACATCCGTGCATGCCATGTTTTATTCTATACTGTATGCCTCTATTAGTTGGTGGCAAATGAATTGAATTCATGGTTGATTGGATAGTGGATTGGATCAAGTGAATTGGTGGGTTGATTCATGGGTGCAAATGACATCAAACCTTAGATCATTATGTACTAAAATATCATAATTAAAAAAAAATTTAGATACTAAAATGTAATTTTTTACGGTTAAATAAAAATAAAATGCATTAAGCACAGGCAAGCTAAATCAACTAGACCTGGCAAATTACAATCCGACCCGTTGACCCGACTCGAAAACGCCCGAAAAGTAGAAATTTTTATAACCTGAAATTCGAATGAAACCCGATAAATCGTGATTTTTTGTGTCAGGTTGGGTGGATTCGTTAGACCCGTTCCATTTTATATATCACTCCCGAAATGATAAAATCACTCATAAAACTGGTGAGATGTTTTAAAAAAACACACAAGGATTTGAATGACATGTTTGGAGTTTAAAGATAATCAAATATCATGTGTTTCTTGTAGTAGTATTACTCTTGTGATTGTTTTTTGACGATTTGCGCAATTTGTTTTTCATTTCATTAGCGTGGGAAGAATTGAGAATATGTTAATTGGCATGTGTTAAGTAAACTACTGTCATGCATATGTGAAAATTTGTGTTCTTTAAGAAAATATGAAACATGTTTGATATTGTCTCTGAGAGCGCTCATAACCCGACCCGAAATTGAATGGTTGGATCAATTTTAGACCCGAAATCTTCAAACCAAACATGAGCCGACCTGTAACCGGAGTCCCCAACCCGATCCGATTGGCAGGTCTAAAACCAACAGCCTCTCAAACTGTGTTTACAACCATCAAAAGATGAATTTACCGTATGTGTACATACTATATACATATACCATCTACCACTCCAAGCCAAGTCTTTCGAAGCCTTTTTGGAGGACATGATCGATCGCCATTCGACAAGAAGCGCACCCTTCACTTCTTTGCATACCAGAGCAGGAGGTTTTGCACAGCATGATCCGTACACATCTTTGGGCATCTTTCTTTCCATACCAAGCTGATGCACACAGACAACACTAACTTGGAAACTCTAGACACAACCGATCTCCCACACCAATGCTTCACACACCACTCAATGACATGGTCCTAATCAGTAAAAGGAGGAGCATAGGCCAATAGGCAACTGGACACAACACTCACTATATAAGGACAATGCACGAACATGCGACTTCTGTCTCCAACACCTCTAGGGCAGAGCAACCCAAAGACCAGAAACACTTTTCCCTATGCCAATAGCTTATCTTGCATAACCAATCGGTTATGCAGTGCAAGCCAGAGAATGAAGCCATGTTTAGGGATCACTTCCTTACTCTATAGCCATTGCACAGCAGCATCCTTCACCCTAATTGTATCACAAATCATTTTGACAGAGTATCGGCTCAGTAGGACACCATTCCATGACAAATTAGGTCCTACACCCGATATATGTTGCTGAACCACACTTGACATTTCAGCAAACGTTTCCAAATCCATGTTCCTGCTCAAGTTACAAACAATGTCCATATACTTTGTTGCTTAATCTTATATCTTTTAACCCACTCAACCCAGAGCGAGCCTCCTGTAGACAGAATGTCCCACAAATGCGCGCAACACAGGCCAAGTTCCATATCTTAAAATTTCTCACACCAAGCCCACCTTCCTTCTTAGGCCTAGCTAATTTTACCCAGGCCATTACAACCCTTTTCATCCCATCAGCTTCATCAATATGCCACAGGAACTCACTACATAGCCTCTCTACCTCCTTAATCACAAATTGTGGCAAAAGGAAGAGTGCTAGAGATTACAGTCGAGAAACTTCCATTAGCTCTAAGACTAGGGATCAAAGGAATTGGTGGGAAATCCAGAAAAAGCTAAAATCCCACTGTTAGAACATTTAAGAAAGAGGAGAGCCGGGAGTTTCGCCTTTTCGTCGCCAATCGTTGCGGTTCTTTCAAACCTGACAGCTAACTGAATTTTACCTAAGAAGATTGGACTTCCAACTAAAAAATAAAATTTAAGTACCAAAATGTAAAATATAAAAAATATAGATACTAAAATATAATTTGTTGACAATCCATGAATCTACTAATCCAATTAGCATTGGGCCCGGCCCGTTGGCCGGTAAAACCTACATGTACTCTTTTAGACCAACTTCAATGCTAGTCCCTAAACCCGTGGACTAGAGATGTCAATCCAACCCGTAACCATGGGTACTCTACCCGACCATAACCGGTCAACGAGGGTAATTACCCGCTTTGACGGGTGAAGGAGCGGGTACGGGTAATACCCTGTTTCAAAATAAAGGGTAGGGTATGAGTATGGTAATCGATAATACCCACCTTGTTATACCCGCCCCGCTAACCAAAGGGTCAATTTCCCTAGCCCTAACCCTACCCAACAGTCGATTTTCCTTGCTCACGCACAAGTGAGGTGCTTGCTCAGGCTCTTCTTGAAACTTTACTTGATTGGGATAGTGACACAAAGTTATCTGCGATTACCTTGGATAATTGTTCTACTAATGATGCCTTGATGGATGTCATGAAGCATAAGTTAAGCAGTGAGCATTTGATGTGGTTTGGTTCTAATATTGTCTTTGCTGTTTTTGTTTATATGTGGATTGTTGAAGCTAGAACAAATATGATGTATTGTGTTTTTGTTTGTGTGGATTGTAGAAGCAAGAACAATTATTATGTGTTTGCTGTTTTTATTTGTGTGGATTGTTGAAACTAGAACAGTTACAAGTATTGAGAATTTTTAATGGACAACAGTATGTATGTGCATATATGTGTATAAGTTTATATTTTAGGATTTGTATCCATGGTTACCCGAATACCCGTGGTTACCCGGTGGGTAGGGTATGGTTATATCATTTTCATACCCGGTGATTATTTGGTCGGGTATTTTAGGAAGCTCTACCCGGCGGGTTAGGAGTTGGTATAGGGTAAACCCGCACCCGACCCTACCTATTGCCATCTCTACTGTGGACCTTCATCTCCAAATTTGGGGATGATTCCCATTTTCATCATTTTTCTTTACTTAAAAATGTAATATATTTTGTTCATGTTAATTTTTGTATAATTCGTCATCATTTTTAAGTACAAATTTTCCAATCAAATTTTTTTTAATTTCGAAACCGAATTTTTTTGGCAAAAATGATTGACCTAATTTTTCTTTACACACAACGCTTGAAAATTATTGATCTAATTAAACCCCAATTAACCCCTAACATTTTAAAAAGAAAGGTAAAAGTCAGGTGGCGGGCTGGCGGTTGTCCTGCCCACCACCATACTCCTCCCCATTTTCATCCCCAATTTTGGGATCCTTTTGCAGATTTTTCCCAAATATGGAGATTCTCGCCATTTATGGGATGCATTGGAGATGGAACTACTCCATTTATGGAGACTTCCCTATTTATATGAACTCCATTGAAGTTAGCCTTATTCTCTATTAGTTGGTGTTGTATAAAAGAGGTACATATACTTTGTTTATGTCTAATGTGACTTCTCCACCTAGTGAAACACAATTACAATTCCTGACTATAAGGGGGACGACTGTTTTTTAGAAATGTGTTAAATGTAGATTTCTAGTGAAACAAAGCCAAGTCAGAAGCTTCCTATAAAAAAATCCAACTCAGAAGCTAAAGTTGCTTCTGTGTACTTATCGTTCCCCACACTATAATCGGCTTCAAAGTAGCAACAATTGAAGTTTCAATTACATAATTAATATATATATATAAACGTGAAGGCTTCAAAGTAGCAACAATTGAAGTTTCAATTACATAATTAATATATATATAAACGTGAAGTGTGGTTACTGTTGCCAAAATAACTACGTTTTGATACTTCAAATTTAATTAAATTACAACTTAGTCACTATAATGTATATTTTATATTTTGATATCCCAAATTTAATTTTAAAGTAAAATCATTGAACAATTATGTTTTAGTATCTAAATTTTATGAGATTTTCGTACCTACAATTTTTAAAATTTACATATTGGTACAATGTTTACATTTCACTTGAATTCATAAATCCATCCACCAATTCATGAATCCAATCCACCGTAACATAAAATTATAAATTTAGTTTGTACCATACAAGAAGTTGTATCACTCAACCGTAGGAGAAGATTCGACCATTTTGGTCTTTGATGAGATTTTTACTTCAAATAAACATGTATGATATCCATTTGAAATAATAATTATCATTTTTAAAAGAACATTATATTCGGTGATCTGACAACATATTTAATAAAATATAATATGAGTACATTAAGATATTGATCTGTATGAAGTTTTTGTATGACATTTTAATAGAACAATGGTTACAAAAATCAACAGTAATAAAAATCATAAGTTAAAAATTAATATAAGTATAAAAATGACCCAACCTTTCCATCATCTACTCCTCTTCATTTCATTTTTCACTCGCCTTCCATAACCCTTTCTTTATTTCTTTCTTTATCTTCTTCGTCTAACCTTAATTAGTAATTGAACCATGAACCATTAACTTTTCAAGCTCAATGTCGAGTCCAATTAAAAATAAAGATATATGACTATTACTTATTAGAAAGTCATCATTGTCCACTATGGGATATGAAGGCGTGAAATTTTAAGCGAGTTCCCGTTTGTATTCATTTTGCTTCTCTATAGAGTTTTTCTTTTTCACCCGGCTAGATTTTCAACAATTATATGTTTGGCTAGGTACATACACAATTCAAATAAATAGTTTCCATTCTTCCAAAAAAAAAAAAGTAAAAATCATCATCTTAAATACATCACCATAAAAAGAATTAAGTCTCAACTATGCAAATTATAGTTCAATACCTAAACTTAATATATCTTAGATTTATAGCCTAATTTTTTTTAGCATACAAGTCCTAAAAAAACCAAAATATTGATGGAACAATATATTTTAGTAACTAATTTTTTTAGTACATTTTGGTACCTAAAACTTTGAAGTTCTACAAATAGTTATAATTTTTGTATGTGTAATTAAAACACCTTCGAATAAATGGGTATCCACACCTAACTCATACACATTTCAATTATGGTAGTAAATATCCATACCCTACCCAAACTCATCTACAACTTCCAAACTATATATAAGTCACCCATACCCTACCCATAATCAATGGGTCTACTTGGATTTAGGTAAATATAGTTTATTAGCCAAAATTTCAAAATA